ACGCCAAACTTTTAGTATAAATAAATTTTGAACCTAAAAGTTTACCTATCACAACTCAGGTCGGAGGATTTGTCATGCTAGTTTACCCAATTTTACAATCTCCTTCACTTATGATCGGATTGTTGTGGCGTTTGCCTTAGGCCCATGCAGCAGTTGTCCTCGCCCACACTCCCCACTTAAGCCTAACTCCTTTACAGGGAATGACGCAGTTGATGACAACTAAATCAACCATCCCAACACCTTACGTCTTCATACCTTCAACCTTGGCAACTTTCAGGAAGTGGTAGACCATAACCAAATTGTATTAATTCCCCGTCTTTTTAGGTAATAGAGGATCCATGATACCAATACTTTCTCCCTTCTCTGGATTCCTGTAGGCATAAGATAGAGTGGAGTGATTGCTGTGACGCAATTCCTCTTGAAGCCGCTGCAAGTGATCAAGGTTTGAGGGGAATCAAGTGCATCCAAAGTGAGTGGCAACCATCAACACCCTCTGTTTGAGGCGTTTAGCAGTGTTTCATTTAATTTGTAGATATGATGGATAAAGCTCGTGGTAAAACGTTGAAAAAGAAGCAGATCGTAAGTGATGGTTCTATCAGATTACTTACCGAAAGGTATAAAATACTGGCAAAGTCTAGCTGCAGCCCCTTAGATAGGTACTTGAGTTCTATCACCAGGTGTGTTGTTATTGGAAAAGTTGTATTGAATGCATAGAGGCAGTATAAACGCACCTTTTATTGACCCTTGTTACGGGCAATATTACCGACCACATTCGATGCTGTTTCAAGGAAAACTTATATGTGTGTAGAATGGTCAGTGACTACACCGAAGGGCCCCTGCTGTAAGCAAAGTGTTAAACAACAGTCTTGGCAGAAGCAATGGCTGCTTCCGACTAGAGGAGATAGGCAAACCACTTTTCAATGAACCAAAACATTGGATAATGTATTTCTGCCAAGAAGAGCTAAAGGGACTCGAAGCCATTTGACAAATTTTTCTGAAATACAAAAAGTGACTGCCAAACATGGACGTGCATCAATAAAAAGAGGTTTCTTGCGTCCAATGAGATTATGCTCATTCCAGTGTGATAGTAAAAGCCCAATATCACCCATTGTCAACACATAATGACGGGGAATGTTTCTTTCATCACTTATTTCGTTATTAGCACCATTAAAGCAACAATAGATACAACATACGCACGAGATAAAACTATGCAAAAGCAATAACCTTGAAAATGGAGGGTTAAATTAATTGGCTTTAAATGCTGTTTAACATTACAAATGAGCACCAACTGCGGCCGATTTGTTACCTTTGACAAAGAATTTGTGACCTTTGCTGGTGGCACTCCCCAACCCCGCTATCTACTACACCTACAGCTTCAGTGCATGGAAAATGGTGTACTACCTCAGGCGAAGAGAGCTGCTAGTAACATGCCACGTGCCATGCCACCATGGATTGTTGTTAATATAGACGTCTTCGCCCCCACTACAGCTGTCGTTGATGCTGGCTGCTGCGGTACAGATAAAATGCCTGCTTAAATTGCATACACTACTAGCTCAGCCTCGACCACGACAGTTCCTTTAAAGCTGGTGCAGAGTTGAGCCAACCGTTGCACCATCACTCACATTACACCTCACTTTTGCTCCTGTTGCTACCATTCCTTGCTTTTCAAAACAAAAAAGATGTTTATATGCTCTCTTGACTTATCCTGCATGAAGCAATCAGGATAGAACTAACAGTAGGAGCTGTCGTGATACAGGCAGCTCCTCGAAACAGGCAAATGAAAGGAGCGATGAAATGTTTGACGAGGCGTGTGAAGCCAGCCTACGAACAGGCATCACGATATACTGACCGATAGTATAAAAGTAAATTGTCATTTTGGGAGTTGATTTAAATCAGATGTTGGCCACACCAATGAGCCAATCAGTTATGGGGCATTTGAAATATTAGAAGGATAAGTTGGTCAGAAAGTTCCCTGTCTTATCTACTTTAGTGGTGGTACTGGGTGCCCACATCAAAATAGCAGGTGTATTAGACAGGAAATCCAATAATAAATATCTGGAAATCAGTAGAATATATTCACACAAACATTCATGTAATTAGGTCATAGATGGCTTATTTGTCATTCGCGGAAATAGTTTGAGGTCGTTTTACCCAATGATGTGTAATCATCTTGGTGTGGGGAAAAGAAGAGGCGCAATTTGGTAGGTATGGACTAAATTACATTGCATTGCACCATGGCACGTCGGGCCACATAAAGTCAAGCGAATATTGAAAGCTAGTAGCCGATGCCCAATTAAAAGAAGAGTGATTTGATGTTTGTTCTAAAAAAGGAATGGTTTCAAGACTGATTTGGGGATGCTTAGCATTATCGTAAATATAATTTGCGTAAATTCGCCACTTTCGACTTGGGCTCAAACTACAACTAGGGTGATGTCACGTCATCCCATGCCTAGAAAGGAAGCGAGGGGAGCATTGTTGGTGGTCATACAATG